AAAAAAAAAAAAAAAAAGTGATATTCAGGGGCCGGCCCAGTGGTGTAGTGGTTGGGTTTCCGGGTTCGGATTCCAGGCACGGACTTGTGCACAACTCATCAAGCCATGCTGTGGCGGCGATCCATATAAAGTGGAGGAAGATGGGCACAGATGTTAGCCCAGGGCCAGTCTTCCTCAGCAAAAAGAGGAGGATCGGCAACGATGTTAGCTCAGGGCTGATCTTCCTCACACACACAAAAAACTAATATTCAGAGAACAAAAGTGGGCTCTATAAAATTAAAAAATGATAGTGGAAATGACAAAGTCAGTTGAAGGACTAGAAGATAAAATTGCAAAAATCTTGAAGAAAGCAAAAAGACAAAAAATAGGAGAGAAAAAATAAAAATAGTAAGAGGACTGATCCTAACTCTCCATCATCTGAAAAACAGGGCTAGAAAGAGAAGACAGAGGAAACTGAGGGAGCAAATCTTTAACAAAATAATTCAAGAAAATATTCCTCAAATGAATATACGTGTTTCAGATTGAAAAGGCCACAAATGCTTACGGACTAGAGAAGAGACAAACACACACACACAATGGTAATAAAGGCTATGAAGAAATGGACAGCAGGGAAGGGGGACTGTAGCTATAAACAGGTCAGAGAAGGCCTCCCAGCAAGGAAAGATCTGAAGGGAGGGAGGTGAGAGAAGCCACGTGGTTGGCTGGGAAACGAACATTCCAGGCAGGGAATAAGTACAAATGTTGGAGGCCAGAGAGTGCTTGGCACGTCCAGAGAACAAGGAGAGGTCACAGAGGCTGGAGTGGTGTGACTGACATGGAGATTGAGAGCAGAGGTCAGAGAGTTAAGAGTGTACTGGGAGGGGCAAGGGAGGGGGTGTAGATCATTGCAAAGGCTTAGACTTTGGCTTTTACTTCGGGTGAGAATGGGAGGGTTCTGAGCAGAGGACAGACACAATCTGAAGTAATCGGATATGTATTTCTAAAGGATCACTCCAGCTGCCATAGTAAGAGTGGAGGGGACCACAGTGAAAAGCAAGACCAGTTAGGAGGCTTCTGCAATAATCCAGGTGTGAGATGGAGGCGGACTGGACCAAGGTGATGGCACCGGAGGTGGTGGGAAGTGGCTGAAGTTTGGGTGTATTTTGAAGATGGAACAGGATTTGCTGACAGATTAGATATGGGGTGTAAGAGACGAAGAGGAGTTCAGGTTTTTGGCCAGAACAGAGTTGCCATTTACTGTAAATGGGAAAGATTACAGGAGGGCCAGGTTTGGGCAGGATGGACAGGAGAAGGTCTAGAAGATCAAGAGTTTGGTTTTGAATATGTTAAGTTTGAAGAGCCTGTTAGAAATCCAAGTACAGATGTTAGTAAGCAGGTAAGTGAGACTGGAGATAAATTTGAAAGTTATTGGCATATGGTTGGTATTTAAAGCCGTAAGAAGGATGATATAACAAGGAGTGAGGGTATGAAGAGAAGAGGCCCAAGTACTGAGTCTTGGGGCTCTTCAAAAATGATGAGGAGTTGATCTTGACAAGACCTATTTCAGTGGGTAGGGCGAGTGAAAACCTGAATGGATCCAATTCGGGAGAGAACAGGTGAGGACTGGAAATAGCAAGCATAAACAAGCACAACACTTTCAAGGAGTTCTGTCATAAAGGGGAGGCAAGACATGGGGCAGATGATGCAGAAGGAAATAGAGTCAAAAGCTCCATGTTTTTAAGATGGGAGAAACAACAGCTAGTTTGTATATTGATGGAAATGATCCAGTAGAAAGGGAAATTTTGACGTTGTAGGGGAAGGACAGGAGAACTTCTGGAACATTGTTCTCCAGTAGGCAAGAAGGGCAGGCATCTAGTGGACAAGGAGGGACTGGCCTGAGCTGGCAGCCTGGACAGTGTCCTATACTAAGAAGAGAGAAAGCACTGTACATATCAGTGCACTGGTGGGAACTTGTGGAAATGCTGTTACTGCTTCTATTTTATCAGTGAAACAGGACGCAAAGTCATCCAGGTAAAAGGGATGGGGAGGTGGGAAATAATCATCTAACAGAATGAAAGAGTAAATGAATTAGAGTAATGTAATACGACTGCTGGGCACGAACCCTTATTACACCAGTCAGTATTGGTTTTTCCAGCTATATACAGGCTACAAAGATGGTGGCACAAAGTTGGTGGAAAATTGGAGATAATGAGCAATTGGATTTTGCTAAACAAGTATGACAAAGCAAGAAAAGCGGAATACATTTTTGAGGGAGTGAATCTAATGGACTATGGAATTTCAGCTGGATAAGGAGGGAAGCGAGACCACAAGGGGGATGAGGGACATTAAATAGGTGGTAGGTGCCAGTAGGGTCAAAGAATTATAAACAGCCCTATACGAAAACTGCCTCATGACGATGGAGCAGGGTCATCCAGGAAGGATTAAAACAGGTAAGTCTCCCAGTCACTCAAATGCTCTGTGAAACGACGGTTAGGGAGGAGTGTCAACAGACAATTGCATATTGTGTTTCACATCCTTTGCTAAAAAAGGAACGGAAGCATGAGAACGATTCTTTTCTAATATTCCATTCAGTAGGTGAAAATAAAACACATGTTGTTTGAAAGGGAAAAAAAGAATTACAGAAGTCAGAATCCTAGAGGGAGTGAGCTAGAAAGATAGGAGATGGTGAAAGGAACATGGCTGAGGTTATGGAGAAGCTGCAGATGTTGGTGACGAGGCTTGGTGTGTGACCTTGGCAGAGAGTGACTGAGGGAGGCTGTAGGACAAGGTCAAAGGAGAAGATTCAAGGAACTAAGAAGCCGAGTTTTAGAGGTACATCCACAAAGACCGTGAAATCACTAAGAATTATGACAGGAGTGTTCGAGAGAGAAACAGTGAGCCTAGAGGTAGATCAGAGAGATGTGCGGTGGGGCCAGCCCTGTGGTGTAGCGGTTAAGTGCGCACGCTCCGCTGCTGGCGGCCCAGGGTTCGGATCCTGGCCCCACACCGACGCACCGCTTGTCAAGCCATGCTGTGGCAGCGTCCCATATAAAGTGGAGGAAGATGGACACAGATGTTAGCGCAGGACCAGTCTTCCTCAGCAAAAAGAGGATTGGCATTGGATGTTAGCTCAGGGCTGATCTTCCTCACAAAAATAAAAAAAAAAAAAGAGAGAGATGTGGGGATACAGCTCAGCCGTGAACAGGACACAAAGTCATAATAATATAAGCACTGGATATTAGTCTGGCCAAAATTATACCTATGTTGGGAGGCAGGAAGGCCAAGAGGAGGAAGCATAGGTTGGGGGTGGGAGGATGCTAGGTAGGGGTGAGGAGAGGGGTGCTAAAAATAAATCCTTAGCTTTTGCAGTGGAGAGTCAACAGTTAATATCTAAAATTGAATAATCAAGAAGTAGCAATACAAACAAGATATTTAGAGACATTCAGGTACATACCAAAAATATCAGCTAAAAGACTGAAATTGATTGCCCGAGGGGTGGGAAGTGGAATGGAGGTGAAAGACAGGGATATGCTAATTTTAAGTAACAAGACTTAAAGAAAGAACTATTTGACTGTTTTTACTGTGCATATAAAACTGATCAAAAATAAAAACTTAAGGGGGCCGGCCCTGTGGCCAACTGGTTAAAGTTCCGCATGCTCCACTTTGGCGGCCCGGGTTCACAGATTCAGATCCTGAGCAGGGACCTACACCACTCGTCAAGCCATGCTGTGGTGGTGAACACATACAAAAGAGAGGAAGACTGGCATAGATGTTAGCTCAGGGCTCATCTTCCTCAAGCAAAAAAAAAGAGGAAGATTGGCAGCAGATGTTAGCTCAGGGCAAATCTTTCTCAGCAAAAAAAAATAATAAAAATAAAAAACTTAGGGCCAGCCCCATGGCTTAGTGGTTAAGTGCGCGCGCTCCGCTGCTGGCGGCCTGGGTTCGGATCCTGGGCGTGCACCGACACACCACTTCTCTGGCCACGCTGAGGCCGTGTCCCATATACAGCAACTAGAAGGATGTGCAACTATGACATACAACTATCTACTGGGGCTTTGGGGGGCGGGGAGGAGAATTGGCAATAGATGTTAGCTCAGAGCCGGTCTTCCTCAGCAAAAAGAGGAGAATTAGCACAGATGTTATCTCAGGGCTGATCTTCCTCACAATAAATAAATAAATAAATAAATAATAAAAAACTTAAAAATTAAAGCTGAGTTGTTTGAAATTGAAAAATGATGCAATCTCTAATTAGGTGTTGTTATTTACCATCCCAGATTAATTAGATTCATATGAGCAATCTAAAATACTCACAAACTTGTTTTCTCTCACAGGAAGGATGCCATCTTGTTAACTGATGCTTTTGACTTCACGGATCAGTCCTTAAATTCAGCACTTGGCTGTTACGATGGAAATGTCTATGAACGTCTGTTCCATTGGGCTCAGGAGTCACCAAGCAATACTCAGGTAGTTGAGCAGAACACATTATAAATGATGTAAGAGAGTAGAGAACACGCAGTGAATACACCTCCATGTTTTCCCATTTTAATTGATTCCCATTAGGTTGGAAATCACTTGGCATAGCATGTCTGTTTAAAATATTTTGAAAACACAAAAAAGAAACCAGGAACGAGGATGTGGCCCGGCAGGAACTGAGTCTGGACTGTAATCAGCAAAATGTATTGCTCAGAATTTGGTAAAGGGAATTAGGAGGAAGGCCCAAGCTCTAAATCAGGGCTTGACATACCCAAGGGCATGCACACATGGTGGTAAACTGGCTTTTAAGTAACAAAAATAAGAAGATAAATCACTGTGGGTATTTAACCATCTTATTTTCAGCCTTTTAACTCCGGTTTTGTGTTGATAAAAGTGGGTATTCAAAGGTGATAGGATCTAGGGGGGGTGGTCTCTCTAAGACCTGACTGCCTGCTAGAGACACCTCCTCCCTCTTCACTGAGGGACACAATCCCAGGAACAAAGACGACTCCTGCACTGCCATCAGTCGCCCAGGAAAACATACAAATGACAATTAAAAGGGTTAAGGTGAAAAGATCCCTAGCTGTCCTAGGAGAGAAAACCAGAACTCTAGGTCATTAACAGAAGAGGGGGAGGACTCACAAAATCCTAACAGTCTAGGGCCAGGGTCCCAGACTCTCTGCTATGAGGCTTGTTGGGAAAAGTTACGAATGTCAATAACTATACTAACTGAAGGGAAGAAATATGTTTAATAGCAGATACAGATGATCAAAACAAAGGCAGTCTATAGGTACACAACAGATTATGTTCTATAACGCAAATATGTTATTCAGATGGTGAAGCTTACTTTTTACCTCTTAGGTCAAATTTCAGAAAAGGTGTCTTAACACCTCATCAAATTGGCAACTCGCAGGCTTTCATTCACACTTGGCATGGTGTTAGACTTGCTCTTAACATTCTGCATCCTGTTATACCTCACAGCTTAATTTAACATGATTATCTAAAGTTACAACACAACCGGTTACCCCTAAGATGGTTGTCAGATAGAAGGCCAGTTCATTTTGGTCATTCCTGTCTCCAGGAGGGTATCCTTTTGACAAGGAAATATAAAGAACTTACCTAAAGAAGGTATGATACATTTACTGCTTAGTAGTTAAGCTACTTCCAGCGTGTTACTTTTTCTAATGATTAGATCTGTGTACTGATGTTTAAATCCTGGCATAAAACTACAGCAGTCTTCCCACTCCAGATCAGCTCACGTGGTCTCAAGATAAACTAGGCCCTCTGGTGCTCCAGAGAAAAACCGACCCAGCTGTACCACCAGTCAGGAAACGTGGACATATCCAGCTCAAAGCTGTTTTACTAGCAACACAAGGAAACATGCCAGTCCTCCTGATTCCTCATCTTCACTAAAATACATGAGGGGCTTTGTTGTTTTTTACTTTGTTTCTAATCTTTATAAGAATTTAATCTGGATACTGAATGAGGGCAGACTTACCTAAACGAGGGGCATGACTGACCCACAGCATCCACGGATTTGGTAAAACCTTGATGCACCTCATCCCATTCACTTTTCTCTTTTCCCTATCTCCTGCCACTTGACGGTGAACAAGAATGGAGTCTTCATCTTCCTAACTCCAGGATCTATCACAGAGTAGACACTTTGCATTTACGGAATAAATGGACATGGTCTTATGACCTACACAGTGAGATGAAGGCAACTGCTACATACACATTGCTGCAGACTCTCGCCATTACATTACCTTGCTAAAAAGGTGACAGGTACAGCAATGTGGCTCTTTCATGCACAGCAATTTAGGAATGTGAGATTACAAATGACCTTGGAGAACTCTTTCCAGTTATCTAAAATCACTCGGTTGACTGCTTATAGCCACATAATCTTCCATTGTTGGCTCCTTTAGAGACCATCAAAATATCACTTTTAAAGTGTATTTTTCGAGCCAGCCCTGATGGCCTGGTGGTTAAAGTTCAGTGCTCTCACCACTTCAGTGGCCTGGGTTCGCTTCCCAGTTGCGGAACCACACCACCTGCCTGTCAGTCGACACGCTGTAGCAGAGGCTCACGTGGAAGAACTCAGAGGACTCACAACCTAGGATATACAACCATGTACTGGGGCTTTGGGGAGGAGGAAAAAAAAGAAAAAGAGGAAGATTGGCAACAGATGTTAGCTCAGGGCGAATCTTTCCCTGCAAAAAAAATAAATAAATGAAGTGTATTTTTCTAATCTGCTGTACATAATTTTGAAACTGCGATAAGAGACATTTTTCCTCATTTGTACTAGTAGAAAATAAGTTAAAACAACAGCTACGTTGAAACATGACTTGTAGACACAAAAGTACAAGTGGGAATATATTTCAGTGACGTTTTCTACCGAAAGAAAAGTGTTATGCTAAGTTAAATGTCTTAGAATCATAAGCCAGTCTCTCTTCTGTCTGGGCAGGTTAAGTGTTGAGCCTTATCCCTAGCCAGGATGATGCACTCGCTCATGGTTTACTCTGGCCATGGTGTCTGCTTTTTGGCTCTTTTCCTGATGTGGATGCTATTTCAAGCCAGTTTCTCCAAAGTGAAATGCAAAAGGCTGCTCCCCCTCCCCACATGAATTCATAACTAAGTGATTCCCTATAGATGCAAGCAGTGGAGGAATCATTGGGGATAATTTCAAAACAAGAATCCTATTTTAACCTAATTATTCTATTGTAAAATTTGTCCAAGTCGTTGCTAGATGTGTTAAACACATCTACTCATTCATTCAGTCATTCATTCAACAAATATTTATTGAGCATATACTATATGCCAGAATCCATTCTAGGTACTAAGGATACAGTGGAGAACAAGAGTCACAGACCTTGTCTTCAAGGAGCTTGCAGTTTTAGCCTAGACAGGCAAAAAAGTTAATAAATAAGCAAATATTACAAAAGATGAGACTAGAGCTGTAAAGAAAAGAATCAAGACATTACACTAGAGAAAATGGGGATAACTATTCTGACATAGAATATTGCTTACCTGATTCCACCTTCTGGTTCCTTGCTTTGTGGTTAAAGTTCAGTTTCAAAGAGCTCAAAAAGTCTTTTATTTGTATTAAATTCCAAAAGCAAATGATAAGCTGTTTTTTTAATTGGCCACCTTCATCACAATTTAAAATCTGCATGAGAAAAGGAAGGATGCCCTTTGGAAAAAATGGTTCTCCATATGTTCACACAAAATGAATTTAAAAAATAATTTTAAAAATTAAGAATCTTATGTAATGTTACTTTTTTTAAACTAAAAACTTAATTTGAAAGTAAAAGTCATTAATCCTGGGAGAAATAGTCTGTCTTAATAATGCACTTCTTTCTACAAACAGGGGAACCCTGCCTATGAGAAATATATAAGACCACTACTGCAAAGCTGGAAATCCAAGTTGTGAAATAATCAAGCATTCAAGAGGCACCACTACGTGATAATGGCACTATGGCATATAGATCATTAAAATTTAAAAGTACATATGTGTGTATTTTTAAAAAAGAGTCATTATCTTTTAGAGAGACAGTCTGAAGTGGATGAAATATCTGTGATTTACTTCAAAATAATCCATTGGAGGAACGAGGGAGAATAAATAGTTAAAGTTGGTCAATGGGCACACAAGTGGTTACACTATTCTCTATTTCTAAATATGTTTGAAATTTCCCACAATAAAAAACAGTAGCACTATCCATTTGTAGCATCTATTTTGTTAAATACCAGGGTTTGGCTTTAGATCTAGCAAAAGCCAACAGGCTCATCAGTTATCACTGTCTTTAGCACACATTTATCTGAGGGTTTAAAAGGGCACATACACGATCCTCTCCAAAAGTATATATATATACACTGTACTTGGTGTAATCTAAACAAAATGTAGATCCCTAAGAATGTGACTATCAATTTTTAAAAATCAACTTTCACAGTGAAAATGATTTAAAATTTCATTAAAAAGACATAATTGTCTCAAATTACCCAAATATAATCAAGCTACATTTTTCATATCATTTCCAATTACCCAAATAGAAAAAACACTCAAAATCAAACGCCATCAGACAAATTAAATTGCAAAAAAACTCAGCTGGCTACTTTTCCTAATTTACTCATATAATCATTTAGTTGTTAATAATTAATAAACCTGAGAAAATCTACTAAAAGCAAACTTACCTCCAGTAAACTGAGCAAGGAAGAGATCTCATAAGTTTTTAACTTTTAAAACCTTAGAACAACTAATATTATTCCCATTTCCATACCTGTTTTCAACCCAAATCATTTTATCTTGCATTCACCTCAGCTAACTCAACAACACATAACTGGCTGGGGGTTTCATTTGTTTGTCTCGTAGGTAACCAATAATCAATTTGAAGTAGGAGACAATTTTCTTAAAAGATAACCTCATACTAGTACATTTACTGAAACCCTAGCAACCTGCCAATAACATTAGGAATTTTAGTTTGAAGAGGGTGAAAATGAGATAATTACAGCCTTCTAGATGTCGGTCATTTGTCAAATCTTAAAATAAATTTTCAGAGATATATAGGCACAAATGGATGTAGGTAAGTGTTCTCATCCTCCTTTCAGAGAGAATCTCAGAATCTTCTCATAGAGAGAAGAAAAGGAGTTACCTGCCCCAGGCACACAGCCTCAGAGCTCCACTCCTCCCCTGGAACACCAGGAGGAAATTACCTGACTTCCTTTCATAAGGTGTTCTAGCAAACTAGGAAGTCTCACTATAGTTAACATAATCCCTCCTGTGAGTAACTTCCAAGAAATGGAATCAAATGAACTATGCAAAGTAAGACTATGGCAAAATAAATAAAAGTACATACATATCTCCAACTGTTCCAGATCCTTCACTGACTGCAGTTTATTTCTTCTCCTCAGAGATAAACTTAACCATAATAATAAAATACACTTGTGAGTCACCATAATATACGAGAATAAAGTGGCTAAAGAGTCAGTTTGTCCCTATTCTCAACACAAAAAAAATAAGGGTCATATTCACAGATACGACAATTAGTGGCTTATTGAAGAAAAATCTATAAACTTCAACATAAGTCCTATTTGAAAAAATTTGTCAGACTGTATGTTCACTGTTTAAATATGCACTCTTTTAGACAAAATTAATAATGCCACCTATCCCTGCTTCAATGACACAGTCGAGTTCTATAAACTGCACCCTAAGCTTCCACTGAGTCCTCTTGAATTAAATACAAATGTGCTATAGGCATATATATTGGGACATAAAACAAAAAATGCATACTTTAGACAAGGAATATGATTTTCCCCCTTAAGTAATAATAATCAATAAATACAAACCTAATTTTCATATTTCATTTTTTTATTAGTTTTTTTTCTGGTAGACAGTACACTTGGGAATTATACTGCACCAGGCATAAGAAGTAAGATTTCTACCACAGGGACATTTTGCATTCAGAATCCAATAAATATTTCTAGTCAGACATTTCCATGGCTACAGATATTTGGTTGCTTGATTTATATGCATAGAAAGAAACAGTTGTCATAACTGTAAAAAGCAGTACTTAACAAGTACTTTTAAATGATTGGAACAGTTTTCCTTTAATATTACAATACTGCTTATTGGTTTGGAAACTAGGTCGCCCTACATGATGTTCTGATTTTTCTCAAAGGCATCATGAGTACTCTGTTTATTCTTTCATTCCCGCATTTTTAGCCTTCTAGTTGAGTTAGGGACCATTTAATCAGAAATCGTTTTAGCACTGTAATAAAAAAGCTCTGTTAAGGGTAGATTATATACCATAATGATTTTCTGACTTCTTTTTATAAAAAAGGTATCTGGAGGCTCTGAACAGGCACATGCATACTCAGGGTGAAGGGAACAAAACACAGGAGTCTGCTAAAGCACAAAACTTCCTTCTGGTCCTCAATGCCTTCAAATAAATACAAATATTAAAAAAAAAAAAAATCCCACACTGTGATTTAAAAATAATCAGCCTCTTCCACCTCCTGGAGAGTCAGTTTCCAGGAACTTCTAGGGGGGCTGGAGATCAGTCATCCGTCTTCCGAGCCAGCCTACAGAAAGTCCAGTTGTGCTCCACCGTGTTCTCATTGGCCCGCTCACTCATGTGATGCACCCGGGTGTTGCGGATCGTGAAACCTTGTTTTGTAATGTACTCCATCAGATGGACCCGGAGAGAGACTTCCTGGTGATAATCACAGGGTCCAAAAGTAAAGGAAACCTGGCAATCTCTGGTATCCATCATGTGCTTATTCCACTTCGTAAAATAGTTTGAGATACCTTCTAGTAAGGAATGGACCTTGGTGGTGATGGTTAGTTGGGTTATGATGACAGCTACTGGATTGGAGTACTTAGAAAGCTTCCGAGTACTAGATAACTCCACAACTTCTTCAAAAGTATCCATAGGATACAAAGGCTTAGGGTCATTGAGACACTGAATCAAGGGCTCAATCTGATAAAAATCTGCTTCTTTCCGAAGCAGATCAAATTCCTTAAAATCCAGGGGTAAGGTCAACTCTGAAGTTCTTAAGAAGTTGAGGACATATCGGAAAAGTGGTCCATCTCGATCAATGAAGTAATTGCCTTGAGGGTCTCGAGCTGTGGGGAAGTCCCCCCCAAACATGGCTCCAAGCATGGAATCCGGGTATCGCGTCAACGTGGTGAGAGACGTTGTGTACAAGTGTCCACCTACATTTAACGTGACTGGATCAGTCATCTGAAATTTTTTAGAAAATGATCAGTCATCTGAAATTTTTTAAATCCTAACTTTGTCAATTAAGAAAATTAACAGTAACAAGCAAAGTAAAAGATTCCTTCAGGCTATAATGTATTTAGCAATCCTATAATGCAAAATAGCCTTACTTTCAGTGACAAACCCACCCAGATGAAGGGATCTAACATTTGCTTTCAATAGGGGAAAAAAGGGATAAATACAACTCTTTTACAGATTACACTAAGAAAGGGGGGGCATGACTTCCAAAGCAATTTAATTTCAGGCCCATATCTAGAGGGAAGTTTTCAGGTCAGAGTATATCATGGAAATAGAAAGGCCAAACTAAAATACACTAATTTAAGTCTCTTTCTTATTTAAAAAAAAAAAGAGGACTTTCATTTTTTTTAAGTTAATTTAACATAAAATAGAATAAAAGTGATTGGATAACGTAAAGACATTTACTTTCAACATTTCTTTTGTTTCTCCCCCCTCAAAAAAAAGGGAACGCATAGTGAAATTTATTTGAAAAGTGAAAATTTGTGCAGACCTAATCTTCATAACTTTTTCATGTAAATAACAGTGCCAAATACTAGGTTAAAATACACAGTTTGGTCAACACAATCTCATATACCCAAAGGCTAACAGCAGCTTTCAAATTTCATAATCTGATAGTGTATTCACTTTTGTAACATCAATGTTGCAATTTGGTCTTTAACTTTGAAAAGCAAGCTTCTCTAAATAATACATACCTTCCGTTTCAGAAATCATATTTAAGGAAAAAAATAGACAGACAGACTTCAGGTACTAGGCAAGTAAAATATTTCTTACCAAAGGAAAAAGAAAAATAGGAAGACATGCACATGCAAAAAAAGTACAAGTGGGAGAAGCGGCACCTTCTCAACCGTTAACCTCCCTCGCCACAAGAAAGTGTCCTCTGTGCCATTACCTACTAGACCCTTTTAACAGTCACTCTTCTAGGAAGGAAGAGTTTTAAGAGCACCATACTTTAAAGACCAAAGAATCATGACCTCTCTCAAATAAGTGATTATAAAAAGTTACTTGGAGAGTTAATATTGAATATGCTTACATAAAAACACCAAACCAAATAAAAACAATCAAAAAAAATACATCTAAATTAATTAAGGGGGGGTTGCACCAATTTATAATTTTCATTCTTACAAGATGTGTTATACTTAAGAATACACAAGAAGAGGGAAAAGACACAAAAACAATTTGCCAGCCTTCAAAATGCATCTGCAAAGCCTCTCACCATATAGCCCCAGTCTCCATTATCCATCTGCTCCAGCGCTGCGTCTCCGGGAGCCCAGGTTCCAGGGAGACTGCCGAGGAGAAAAAAACATGTGATAGCGCATGTAACTATGAAAATAGAGAAGAAAGGTTTTTCCACCCAACGGAGCAACCCAAACACTGGAAAACTACTCAGCTTTGCTCAACTAAAACCTGCTACATGGCAAAGATCTAGGGAAGAAAGCATTCCCCCAGGGCCTTCAATGGGGCCTCTATACTTACCACAGGTGCACCTAAGAGACTGACAATCTTCACAGAGAATCATCCTCTACTTAGAGGAGGAGGAAGAGCCTGTTAAGTAAACCAGTCATTCAAATTCTGTTGTCTCTGAAAATTCCGTTTTTAGAATTTCTATAGGAAAACATTATGATTAACTCTACAACCTTATGCTGGTACACACCTCTGATGATCCTTATCAAAGGATCCTTATCCAGGTCATTTAAGAGAAAAAGAGAAAGACTTTTTTTTCATAGCATTTCACCTCAAACTAAACATCTCAGTAAAAGCATGAAAAACCATAAACCTCCAAGACACCAGTATCGCTTTCCAAGAGAAATACATCAGAATAGTATTTTTTACAACATAAAAAAACTAATTATACTTTTAATAATGATATATTTCACTTTGTACAATAATCAAAACAAATAGAAAACAGTTTAAATGCCAAACCATTAGAGCACAACTTGGGGCAAAAAGAACCTTACAAATCTGTATGAGAGTCACTTGGCCAGCACTTTTGGAGAGCCGGGGAGCCATTCTGAAGACACTGATAAATACCCAGATACTAATGATGCCAGTTTGAATTTATTTTTATCTACAATTCAAAAGCACTTAAACAGTTTCCCAGCTACTCAACAGCTTTAGTTAGTTCCCTCTCACACACATCATTCCCCAAATCAACCGGCAAAGCAAACTGCAGAGCAAATTTCAAAAGCTCTGGCAAGAGACAGTAAGAAACATGGATTTATCGGTATTTACCCAGGAAAAGCATCGGCTTTTTTATGTGGTCTTTGAACAGACTCACTTTTCCCACTTTTGGAGGAATCTGGCGCACTATTCCCAGAACAGGCTCTGGCTACAGAAGATCACAAAGGCTCTTTCTCATAAGGTCACTCAGGCATGTAGAGAACATTTGCATAGCACAGCAGGGGCTGAAATCAGAGCCTGAAGCATCTATTTCTCCACCTTGCAAATTCTTCAAAGCAAACAAGCTAAAATGTGGACCAGACAACGTGCAGTCAGTTTTTATTCTGCACACTCAGCAGCTAGATATAGATAGGCCTCCACATGCAACAGGGTGAGAAATGGAACAAATGTCAAATTCAGGGCTGTTGTGACAACCTTTCATTCCCGACTTGCTTCACAAACAGTATTTGAAGTAAACAGAACCAAGAAACAGGCTTTACCAATTTGTTTATTAGAAGCATCTGATTCAGTTACTGATACAACAGGCAGCTCAGTAACTGAGAGATTTAAAAGGCCAGTCATCCAAAAGTTCTGGAAAGATGCTCATCTTTGGCATCTTCCCATCAACCAAAGTATTCATTCTTGACAGCCTCAAAAATAATTCAGTCAACCAAAACATTTATTGTAGGTCAACTGGGGGGCGGGGGGGAGAAAAGCCCATCCACAAGGTGGATACACAGAAACAGGATATGTACAATCCTTGCTCTCATGGAGCATTCACTCTATGAAGAAAGGCAACATGTAATAACTGAAGTACAGAACAGAATTCTACAGCACTATATAATAGATCGACTGGCAGACGCCTGCAGGAAAAAAGAGCAACAACAATTCCAAATGGGAAAATGGGAGGACTTCCGAGAAGAGCTCGCTCAGTAGAACTCTGCAGGAATATTTGGACAACCTGAGAAGAGATTCTAGAACGAAGAAACAATTTAAGTAAAAAGGGGGGGGCCTTTTATCCCCACAACATTCCTGATACGTAAGCAGAGCGTGAATTACTGTCCCCATTTTAGAGATGCAAAATAGAGAAACAGCAGATTAAGTGACTTACTCAAGGCCCCACAGCTGAAAAATAACAATAAGAACTTGGGTTTTCTGACTCCTAGTCTAGATGTTTCCCTAAATCCCCTCCTTAGGCGGAAATCGACAGAATCTGAGAAACAAGAAACTGAAAGGATTAACCTTAAACCTCCTACAGCCATCTATTAACCCTATCCACCTAGTAGGGATTTATTTACAAATTTAACAGTAACTCAGTCTAAGTGAAGGGTCATAATGAGTTTTTAAAAATTCCCCTGAGGCAAAATAGCAAGAACCTACTCACTAGCACTATTGAAGGCTGCGGTCCTGTCTTAAGTGAAGTAAAGAACTCCAATCCACGAATATCCAAAAGGTTAAATGAGAAATGGGAGACCAAAGACAAGGAAAAAACCAGACATCGTCAATATTGCAGCTGTTATGCAAGGTCTATCCACTATTAATCCTTCCTTTTCTTTTTTACCGCTAAATCAAAACAAGATAACTTCTTGAGCAATCATAAAACGAAAATTAGATGATGCTCCTGAATCTGTCCACAACAAAAGCCAAGGTCCTGTTCCAGTACAAAGATGTAATGAAACCTTTAAGCTTAATAATTCAGGAAAGCAATTATAGGAATCTATATAAGCCCATGTTTCTTAAAAAGCACCCAAAAGCCTTCCTACACTTGTGTATAAGATCCATCAAAATAAAACGAAGTTACTATTAGTCACTTCCAATAACAATGACTAAACTGTCCCAAAAAATCAAATTGTTCACTAAAGAACTCCAAAGGAAAAAACTGTATTGATTAGTTTAAATTTTACCTCTATTTCTTACTTCTAAACATCCTCTGTGGAGATGCTTAGATACAGCAAGAAACGAAAAAAAAGCAGAAAGATTCCTGGTCATCCGGAGGCTGGATAATCAGCCTCTGAATTGATGACTATTAGCAATATCTCAGAGACAATGTAGATGAATGAAATAAAACATAATCCAAAAGAATTTCCAGAATAGCTGCAATCTCTTCTACTAAATCATTTTCCAGAGCTGCTAACAATTAAAAAAATGATCCATTTGCTTTTCATCCTCTCCCCCTTCTGGCACAGTCTCCAGTGCAGGGCTTAATGAGAAGTTAAATGACCACAAGACAGGCAGCAGAAGGAAGATATTGAAATGGGCATCAAATGGGCCTGTTTTACTTGATGAAGACAAAGGAAAATCTAATATTTCAGAAAATTTGCCAGGAATGGAGAGTATGAGGGTAACGATGAAAAAAATTTTCCTTTAAAGTGACTTTCCTTACTAAAGATCATTTCAAACAGTGAATGCAACCAAGCACAAACAATTATAAAGTTCAAAGAAAGGCTTCTGACCTGTAAAATCAGTTCACCTGAAAAGATCTGACCTCTGGCGCAAATAAAATTCTTGTGGAAACAACTGGCTGACCGTTCCCAAAGAACATAAAGCAATACTGAAAATTCACCCACATTTAAGCTTGAAAGGTTAACTATGACTAATGTATAAATTCTGACAGTGTAATGTTAGCAGACAATTAAGTTAAGGAAAACACACACTAGAGAATTTATAAAAGCCTTAACAGAAATTGCTAAGAATTTTCTAAAGTAGCAAACCTAAAAAATGCACAATTCAACAAGTTAATAACTTAATGAATAACCTAAGAACCCCTGAAAGCCATATTCCTCACCACTGCAGAACTGCAATTAAAGGCTTTCTGGTTATGACAAACTAACTTAGGATAAACCCAGAATATTTATGTTTTCTGCTACAGACTAAGACTAAGAATTCTCCAGGACAAAAGTCCTACTCCTACATAGCAACCTATACATTGCAATCCACACCTCCAAACTTGAATAAATAATAAAAACCTGTAATTACTGCCTTCCCAAAGTTTCCAGGTAGCCCTTTTAAAAAGCTTTTCTACTGAAATCTTTGTATCTGGCATTCAGAAAAGAAGACACAATAAATTCCATCTATACATACCTTCAAAATTACCTTTGTACTGAATTTCTCTGTTCTTGAAATGTGGGAGTTTGAAAGTGAAATACTTTTTATAGTAACTAGTTCAGCGACATCTAAAGGAGTCTTCGGGTTAACAGTCACATACAGGCTGGCACAAGTGGCCAGGTGCACAAGGAGAATGTGATTATGGTGTTAGGTTACCCTGAACCATACCACCGCAGAAATGGATTGTTTTTTCCTAAAACTAATTTTTTTTTTCCTCTCTCCTCTCTCCATGTGGTCTAGAAGAAAGGTACTTTAGGTTGAAAAGTGACCTTAATACTAAAGAGCTGTCACAAATAGTCACAAAATCATAAAATTCCTCTAACCCTCAGTTTCTACAAGATAACACAGGGTAATACTGCCTTCCCCAAAGTAATGATACCACAGGCACAACACCAAGGCAACAGCTAACCCAAAGGGTAACAGATCAGGACTTGGGTTCTGAGTCACATGCAGGCCAGTGCAGAGGAAAGAGAACTGGTTACTGCTGAGGATCTGTATCCCAATTCTGCTCTGTTAGTAATTATGAGACCCTGAGTACATCATTCTTTATGGCCAGCTTCTTGTTGGCAGAAAAGGAGAAAATAAGCGAGATCATGCATAGAAAACCATTTGTAAACTGGCAAGTATTAAACAAATGTGAAAATACTAGTGGCAGGAGCATCAACAAAATTTCTGTGGTAAACTGAGAAACTTGAGAGTGTGAACACAAGTAATTTAGAGCACTGGCATGGAGACAGGGCATATATGCAAGAGAAGCCTTCTTAATTTGTTTCCAGTCTCCCCAGATCCTCCTTTCCCCAGAGCTCCAGAAGGAGAAGTACAGGTAAAGAGGAGTACTCAGCTGTTACAGAGACCACCAGACATCTGAGCTCTCGATCACAGAAGGAACTTCTCTCTAAAGCATGACTCAGGATTATCTCCACGGTAAAGCCGAATCCCAGTAAACATGCATATTCTGTTTTAAACAGACTCCAAATATCAAAATCCAAGACACATTATAGAAGGATTCACCCTAGGATTCCTTTCGTGGCAATGCTTTGGTTAAAATGTGACTTGTGGAAATTCAAATCACACAAACCTTAGGAGTGGCATCTATGGCTGTCCTGACCACTGAATCCTTAGTATCTATCGCATTACACAAAACGAAGTAGGAGAATGGACTGATAGTTCTCAAAGCCAGTTCTCTCAACCTACCAAACCTGCAGACAAAAACATTTTTCCTTTTCCTAGCTACATATTTGTTCATCTGAAAACATCTCAGTCTTGGGCTCAGGCCTGTGCTAAACGCTGTGGCCCAGCTTCTTTCCTATCCTGCCATCAGTCATGTACTTGGGCATTTGTGACAGCAAGAAAATGAACATGCCAAGGGGCAACGGTAAGAGACACTCGGCTACCCCAGACATTCTTAGCCAAACCAGGTCACCCCGGGTCTCTTCGCCACTCAAACCTCTTCTATCACCAAGTCCTAGAAGTGGATTTACCAACTTGTTCTAGAACTGGTATACCTGAACAGAAACATAACTTCAGCAGAATGCCCAAACAGGATCTCTGTTTCATTTCTCCCGTCCCACCCCCAGCCAGCCTCCACGACCGTCGGCCCAGCAGGTGCTTCAGGGGCTCCCCATGACTGCGGCCATTTATCACCCCTGACAACAAGCATTAAAAACGCCAAGACACACAAATCTGGGCATAAAGAACTCAGCGGCAGTCAGAGTGTCTCTTCGGGGCAGAAAACCCCCGTAGGCTTTAAATGAGGGCAAACGGTGGCTAATAAGCGCCACCCCTAAAAACAATCATTCTCGAGCAAACCTCGAGGTGTCCCCGTCCGGGCCGTGCTTCGCTGCTGCCCTGACCCGGCCCCAGCGTGGGACGGGAGATGCTCCGGGCCCGGGCGGGGGGCGCGCGCCGGAGCCCCGAACCCAGGTCCCCCGACAGCGCGCGTGCCCGCCA